GCTCTGGAGGAAGGTCCTTGTGATGCATCAGTCTTCCCTTGGTCTGGGAGCATCTCAGCGCAGGAACTTCAGGTCCAAAGGATGCGCTCTGCTCCCAGCAATGCTTTCTTGGTGGTATGAGGTTCCCATGTATCTCTGCTCGCTTCTGTCTTTTATATCTCAGAAGAGGTTGGCTTAAGACACTGTCCAATCTTATAGACCTCATCAGTATAATCTCATTACAGTGATAGAATTTACAACACATAAGAAGATCACATATAACCTCATCATAGTGCTAGAGTTTACAACACGTAAGGAAATCGCATCAGATTACGCAATTGTACAATACTAGGAATCACGACCTAGCCAAGTTGACAGATATTCTGGGGGGACTCAATTCAATCCATGACAGGGCTCAAGCATAGCAATGATTGTAAGGATGGTGCAGGACGGGGCAGTGTTCCGTTCTGTTGTACACAGGGTCACTATGAGTCGGAACCGACTGGACGGCACATAACAACAACTGTATGTAGATACTGTGCTAGGCACTGGGGACACAGAACAAAACAGATATGGTCTTCGTCCTCGTGGAGCTGACATACTGATTATTTTATTGCCTTCCTTTGTGTTTGAAAACTGATTCCAGATCATTGTTTTTGCGGTGATCCCTGGTTGGCTTCCAACGGCGCCATCTTGGTCCTGTTTTCTGGTTTGGGCTAATGTTTATGGAGGGTTTACCCTGGACCAAGGGGCCCTGGTGGCTTCCGTAAAGATTACAGCCTTGGAAACCCAATGGTGCAGTTCTACTCTGTTCTATAGGGTCACTATGAGTTGGAATTGACTCAATGGCAACTTTTTTTTACTGTTGGCCAGACCCAATGCTAGACTCTCTGGAAGGCTGTTGGGTAGGGGGAAAGATGTTGTGATCTACCCTGTTGTAGAGAAAAGGCACTCCAGCTCTGTCTTAGTCATCTAGTGCCGCTATAACAGAAATACCACAAGTGGATGACTTTAACAAAGAGAAATTTATTTTCTCACAGTCTAGGAGGCTAGAAGTCCTAATTCAGGGCGCCAGCTCCAGGGGAAGGCTTTCTCTCTCTGTCGGCTCTGGAGGAAGGTCCTTGTCATCAATCTTGCCTGGTCCAGGAGCTTCTCAGCACAGGGACCCTGGGTCCAAAGGACGCGCTGTGCTCCTGGCTCTTGTTTTTGGTGGTATACGGTCCCCGTGTCTCTCTGCTCGCTTCTCTATTGCAAAAGAGATTGACTTAAAAACACAACCTAATCTTGTAGATTGAGCCGTGCCTTATTAACATAACTGCTGCTAATCCCACCTCACTGAGATTACAGAGGTAGGATTTACAACACAGGAAAATCACATCATGATAAAATGGTGGACAATCACACAATACTGGGAATCATGACCTAACCAAGTTGACACATATTTTTGGGGGACACAATTCAATCCATGACAAGCTCTCTTGAAGTAACATCAGAGATTTATTGACGCCAATATATCATTCGAATAGGGATCATGAAAACCTCAGAATCTGAAGCTCTCGGATCCCAAAGTAAGACCAAAAACCAAAACCATTGTCGTCGAGTTGATTCCGACTCATAGTGACCCTCTAGAACAGAGTAGAACTGCCCCCATAGGGTTTCCAAGGAGCACTTGGTGGATTCAAACTGCCGACCTTTTTGGTTAGCAGCCATAGCTCTTAACCACTGTGCCACCAGGGTTTCTGGATCCCAAAGGGAGGGGTACAAATCCCCCATAGTTATAATGCTGTGTAAGGAACTACAAACACAGTATTCTGACTGGTTTACAGCGATTGAGGTCAATCAAAGGCAAGACAAAGCAAAGCTGTGATTTCTAACATTATTGGTTGCATCGATACAGCTGGGATACATTGACTGGCTGAAGGACATAATTGCAGAGTCTGTGGTTGCGGTAACGGGAGGCTCATGACCTTCACAAACAATGGTGTGACGTTGGCATGACGATACTGTGAGGAGCAGGCTGTTAAACATTACCTTGCCCAGAGCATAAGATCTGGGTAGATTTAACACAGAGAGTCCATAAAGTTTGGTTAAAGATTCACAGTCAGCCTAACCACAAAGCCTTAAACATAGAGTTGGTTCCTAAGTGTAAAAATGGCGTGGCAGGGGCATCTGGCCTTCTCCTCTAACTTCACAAGGGGGAAGGAGAATCAAAATCAACAGCCCAAGGCTGATTCCTATAGAGACGGAGGTCAGACATATCTCCTCTCTCCAGCCGTTTTTACCAATTCCGACACCAGCTGTCCCTCCTACGGCACTCTCTGCTCTGCTGGGTTCGATAATACATTGCAGTGACCACACAGAACTCACAGACAATACTCAAACGATTATGAGGTTTATTAGGGAAGTAACAGGTTAAAATTCCAGATCAGGAACACTCAGGATACGGCTCTTTGATTAGGACAGTCTCTTCTCAGCTGTGCTGCAGGCATCCTGTCTCTGGTCCTCGGCAAAACTCCGTCAGAAAGCCTTGGCCAAAAGGCACTCAGGTCTAGCTCTGTAAGTTGGCAAACCTAGCTCCACCAAGTACCCAGAGGCACCCTATTCTGCCAGCAAACTTCCTGCCCAAAAGCACTCAGCTTCGCAGCCCAGGGATCCCAGGTCCAAAAGACGTGCTCTACTCCCAGCTCTTCCTTCTTGGTGGTGGTGAGATCCTGCCTCTTCTCCCGCCTTTGGGATGGCTCATTTTAAGCCTAGCAGGATGGCAAAACTGACCAATCCTCCATTAGGGCTCCATATACCTTATTTGCATAGCCCCGTTCAATCATTGTGTGAGTCACAAAGACTGGCTAGAAGGGCCACGTTAAGTAATTCATTGCACCACACTAAACAACAGCGTTGAAATCTGTGTGCAAGGTTACATTAAGCTTTAGTATTCATTCAGCCATTTTATTTTGATCAGAAGCCTCATTTGATTTCATGTCCTCTATCAACCCCAAGGTGTGGGAAGCAGATATCGGAAGTCACACCCACAGGCAAGGCCTGTGTACGTCAGGGAACTTGGAATCTTGAGCCTGCAGGCCTGGGAGAAACTGATAGCAGCAGAGAAGTCTGCTGAGCCCGGACACCCAGAATCTTCTGTCTTACGGCCCTTCCATCGTTAGAGGGAGGCCCTGTTTCTGTCCAGGCCTTGACAAATGATCTTGAAAACAGGCTGCTAACAACTCTTTGTACAATTCTTTGCCCGAGGACTGGTTATTCTTAGCTATCTTTCTAATCGAAGCTTGGCGATCCAGGAAGCCTTGCCTGGACCCCTGTCCCAAACCCAGGATAGGTGAGAGCCCTCCGCTGGGCTCCTATAGCCCCCGAATTCTCCCTCAATCCCCAATACAGGGCTCAGGAGCCATTTATTTATTTATTATTGTGGTAAAACAGAGACAGAGGGCAGTGGTAGAATTCTCGTGTCTTATGTGGAAGAAGAAAAAAAATACCCACTGCTGTTGAGTGGATTCCAACTCATAGCGACCCTATAGGACAGAGTAGAACTGCCCCATAGTGTTTCCAAGGCAGAAGCAGGCTGCTGCATCTTTCTCCCACGGAGCGGGTGGTGATTTCAAACTGTCAACCTTTCGGTAGACAGCCTAGGGCTTTGACCACTGCACTACCAGGGCTCCTATCCATGTGGGGGACCCGGGTTCTATTCCCAGCCAATGCACCTCATGTGCAGCCACCACCCATCTGTCAGTGGAGGCTTGTGTGTTGCTGGGATGCTGAACTCATGGCCATCCCATGTGTGCAGAGTAGAACTGCCCCATAGGATTTCCGAGGAGCGGCTGGTGGATTCGAACTGCCGACCTTTTGGTTTGCAGCTGTAGCTCTTAACCACTGCGCCACCAGGGCTCCCAATAAAACACGTGGGTGTGAAATTAAATCTCACTGTGCTCTTGATTTGCACGGAGTATATTTCATATGCTTCTGGCGATCTGTATATCTTTTGGTGGCACAGTAGTTAAGAGCTACGGCTGCTAACCATAAGGTCAGCAGTTTGAATCCACCAGCTCCTCCCTGGAAACCCTATAGGGCAGTTCTACTCTATCCTATAGGGTCGCTGAGTCAGAATCGATTCGACGGCATTTTTTGATATCTTCTTTAAAGAAATGTCTATTCAGATCCTTTGCCCATTTTTTGAGCAGGGATTTTTATCTGTTTTGTTCCCTGCTGTATGTTCATGGCGTTCAGGAACCCCTGCAGGAGCGCAATAAATGTTTGTCGAATGAATGTCTGTGCGCAGCGGCCTTTGCAGGCAGGTTTGTAGCTCTGGCACGTGCACCTGTTGCTGAGTCCCACCTGTTCATCACGTGCCTGATTGTGGTGAGTCTGACTTAGCTCTACCCTGTGGGTGTTTGTCTTTGGAACTGTTCCTTATCGAAAACCACGCCCTAAGCTGAGCAGAGCCGTTTCCCAATGTTCGACACGGCCTCTTCACGGCGGCCCGCCCACTTCCGGCCGCGGTTGCCCTTGGCAACGCGTGGTCCCACGCTTCCTGTATTGATTCGAATCGCCGATACGTCATGTCCTCCCGAGATGCACGACACACGCAGGCGCAGCTGCGCGGGGTGGGCGGGGCCTGAAGCGAGAGAGCCCGGCGCGCGAGGGTGTGGTGGGGGAGAGGCCAAGGGGCGCCGCGCGGCGCCACGGAGCGGGGCGTGGCCGCGGGGCCCAGCGGGTCGAGGAGGGGTGATAGGGGCGTGGCTAAGGTGCGCG